ATCTTAGCATGACACATGACAGACTCTTGGAAGACACGTGGCTTGCAACGTCATCGAGAGGTGACACTGTGTGATTTCGCTAACATATATATATATATATATATATATATATATATATATATATATATATATATATATATATATATATATATATATTGATATACATCAGTGCTCATAGCCATAACGAAACCTGGTAAAATTACTACAAATAATAGTGTTATTTTTTGGTTACATACAAGAACAAAAAGAAATAGATTTGTAAATATATTTATTTGAGGGACTTGTTTTGTTAATTAATTAATAGTAAATGAATTAATATAGGAATATTCCAAAATGATTTGAATACCATAGCTAATTATAGTTATATTTGGTATTTATATCTAAGGTTTCAAATCACATCTATATAAATAAAAGGCTCTAGTTCCACTTTTAAGAGATGAGATTTACACATCTAAGGTAAAAAAGTTCGGAGTACTCAAACCCTAAAGGGTAGAGAAATCCAGAATCCCCGTCTTCAAGTTGTGACCATCTGGTTGTCACATCGTAACCAAAGAACATAATCGAGGGTTTTGATTATGTTTGAGCTCGAAGTTCAAGGATTGATTGGATCTGGTTCTTGTTTGCGTCTTGGGTGCGATCACATAATAGGAACGCTCATTTGGGTTCTATAACACCCCAATTCTGGTATGATATTTATATTGTTATTTATTGTTATATTTCTTCAAGTTTTAAGGGGAACTTGACGAGTCAGTAGCTGGACTCGTCGAGTTGGGTCGCGATTTCGAGCACGTTTAAGTTGGCGACTCGGCGAGTCCATATTCCGGACTCGGCGAGTCCGCCAGTCTGGATGAAACCCTAATTTCAAGGGTTTGCACCCTATATAAACAACTTCTGGGGCCTCAAGTCAGCCCCCATCACCCCTCAGAGCTTCATTCTTGAAACCCTAGAGCCCTTTTTGCATTTTGTGTGATTTTGGTGTGTTATTTGAAGATTTTGAGAGACAAAGAAAGGTAGATCAAGAGGAGAAGAAGGAGATCCTAGATCTTTGAGGAATTTCAGAAGAAAGTAAGGTATATCTTGGCCCTTTTCTGTTTCTATGCTTAAATCTCCTTTGTGAAGCCATTCTTAAACCATTTCTTAGCTTAGTAGTGGCATAGAGGACTCATGGAGTTGATTAACCTTCAGATCTAGCTAGATTTGATTTCCAGGAGCTTAGATCTAGCACCTTTATGGATCCATTTTGCATGAAAGCTCTAGATGTACTATTATAGTGTGCTTTTAACCTTAAAACTTCCATTTGATGTTATTTACACGTAAAGTGGGAAACTTTACATGTAAATCGAGTCCCAGGAACCCAGATCTACTAATGGCATGGATTAGTTTCAAGCAGAATCGAGTGTATAGTATTTGCATGCACACGACTCGGCGAGTCGAGTCGCGAGTCCCCTGTGTTTCCTTTTTCGAGTTATGCCGAGTGGAGCCAGTGAGTGAGAAGTAGACTCGGTGAGTTAGAGGGTTAGACTCATTCGTGGAAGAACTCGGTGAGTCAATGCCCTGACTCGGCGAGTCCAAAGCCATCTTCATACTTCAAGAACAGACTCGACGACTTATTCTTATAGACTAGCTTCGTGAATGAGGCGTACTAGCGATTTGACTGACTTATTCTTATACATATAGTAATAATCAAGTTTTTAAATTTACATATAGTATAAGGTGTATTTTAAACTTTTCAAAATACCAGGGTTTATATTTTAAATTTCGAAATTAATATTCAATTAATTAAATTTAAAATAAATTAATAATGAATTAATTAATTATTAAAAATTAAATAAATTAAATCAATTAAGGATTACCTAATTTAATTAATCAAATAATTTAATTTTAATCCTTACCCTCTAATTTTTGAAAATTAGGGTATATGATTTGTCCAATTTTATAACTATCCTTTAAATCAAGTTTAACTTACAATTATTAAAATATGAAAACCCTAATAACCTACCATATTTTGAAAATACTTGGGGATGAAGGTTAGGGTTTCCAAACCCTAGCCCTAAAATTTTGAAATCCAAGGGGGGGGGGGGGGGGTAGGGTTTCCAAAACCCTAGCCCTTGTCGAAATTATTGTCTTTTAGGGTTTAATTTCAATAAACCCTAATTGATCTATTCTTCTATTATAGCTATTCAACATAAAACAAACCTAACGCTCTGATACCACTGATGAGATTTAGGTTAACTAACAAAATTAAAACCCTTAAGTTTGCATGCAATCTAAATAGGATCTATGTTTTCACAATTGAACCTATAACTAAGAACATAAAAAAGAAACCCAAAACCCTAGGGTATTTTCGAAATTAATATGAGAGGGTTTTAGGATTATATACCTTTTAGTTGTTATAGCAAACAACTAGAATTCCTCTTTGTTGATCTCTTGGAAGCAAGGACCATAAGTGTCATGTCTCTAATGGAAACACACCCAAGATATCAAGAAGATAATATAAGAGAGAGGGGGAGAGGAGAGGGGAGGCAAGATTTTGTCCAAGCCTTAGGAAAAGAAGGAGTGGCCGAAATATAGGACCTAAGCGTTCCTTATATAGTTGAGAAAATTTAGTGCCAAAACTAGGGTTTAAGGGATATACCCTAGGTCTCTTTGCTTGGTGACCAAGCAGCCTAATCCCTTTACCCAAAGGCCTCAGACGAAAAATCTTAGGCTTGCTCTAGAGATTTTCGTCCACCTCATTTCATGAGGTTCTAGAACTTTCCTTTCTCAATTATCAATAAATAACCAAACAGACCCTATACTTTTAATTATTCCAATTAATCCCAAAATCAATTTCAATCAATCTCTGATTAATTATTAATTAAATAATATGATTTCTAATTAATATATTATTTTCATAACACATTATTAAACCATTTATTTAATTTATTATTCACATAATAAATTAGTCTCTCTCTCCAAAATCATCATGTCCAATTGCTAGGTTTCAGGGCAGCCCAAAAGGATTGTGCTACTATCAATTCAAGTATATACCAATTTTAGTTATGGGCTTAGACACCTAATCCAACAAGAACGACGCTAGGCCATGACTCGGATAGAATAACACAAGGTCACAAGTTATTGTTTGTATACATTGTATATGTATTGAAGTGTGTGGTATCTTGGAGGACTCGTTAAGCTTTGTGCTTACAATTGTTGATTGCTATTAATTTATCATTTAGACTTCCGCTGATTTTATGATACATTTTTACGATATGGTATTGTGTTGATTAAAGAATTTGGTATCTTAGTCTTTTATGGAAAAATGGTTTTCATGCTTTACTTAGTTTTGAGTTAAAATTTGAAACGTTACATGTGTCTTCCCTTTTCATCATCCCTCAATTATGAAGTGGGTGATGTCACCCTTTAATACCATCATGCTTTTTAATCATAGACCTTGGAATATTTGAAACTCGATTTTTATTGTAGAACATGAACTTTGGTACATACTTCAAATCATTGCCTATTTTCCTATTTAAATTGCACCATAAATAAGCCGTCTTAAATGTGATTGTCAATAATCTTTTTTTCTCCAACTAACTTCTTTCAAATATCCAACCTAACAATCAACTCAAATTTAGTATGTTCCATCAAAACAGTATCATCAACAAAAAGCATGCACAAGGAGCCCCTTCCTAAATCTTACAAAAAAATATCTTCCATATCTAAATGAATATCTAGGGCTAAGAATTCATTAAGTCCAATTTCCACTAGGAAAGACTATGTGTTGTCAATCACAAATTTCACAAAGAGCCAAAAAATGGTATCGTGTATAACCTTGTCCCCCTTCTAGCTACATGGGTCATCCAGATTGACTCACGTTGAACGTTATCATAATCCTTTTCCATGCTAATGAACATCATGTAAATATATAACATTTATGTCGATGTATTTCATACAATTATAATATTAAACGTTAACCATAAAAAAAAAATTGTGAGGTTTATGTCAATGAAAGTATGCAAAGTATTCAACACATGCCTAATGAGAGAAATTATATTATCTTAAATATTCTTTAAACTTACAAGATGGTTAACTTATGTATGTGACAATTGTGCTCTCATGACATTTCACAAAAAGAAATTAAAATAAACCTAAAATAATCTCAAAATCGATCTTACTGGACTTTTGATGCCGATATGGTAGGAGTTTATGAGAGAATGAAGATTAATAGTCTAAAAAGTTGAGGGTTCACCGTCTAGCCTTAACGAATTATGTAGATAGTTATGGTTTATGATTTTTACAGATGCATAATAACAGAGAATTTAGCAAATTTGGAAAGTTTAAATAAAAGGGTGAATACTAACTTGTGCAATTTCCTTTTTAAATTATCAATAAATTCAGAAAAACTCAAAGATCAAGTTCTAAGGATTCAAATTCCACGAACACAAATCAAACACCATAGAAATTTGTTTTTTATAGTGAAACAATTGAATTTTATAAATCCATTATGATCATTTTGTTAATTCTAAAAAAGATGATTATTTAATTTAATTGTTCCAATAAAATTAGTCATTTTAGTGATTAATTAAGTCATTCAAATCAAAATTCCAAAATAATACGATTAGTCCAAGGACAAGGGAAATAACATGATGCATCAACCAATCCCATGAAACACGGCATTCATTTACTTGTCAAGACCTCGAAATCAACCCAATCACTGTGCTTCGAGCTGCCCTTAACTGGATCTTCCCTCTTCTCTGCTGAATCCTAACATTATTCAATCAACAAAGGTACGCACTGAATCAATTTCGCATCTTTCACTGTCAATTCCTTTAGATCCGATCGTCATTTCATTCCTCAACATTTTGCCCTAGTTCTACCACTCAATTCCCTTCAGTCTCATCAGATCAAACCGATTTTATCCAACTCCTAATGTCAATCTGATTTGTTCTTTTGATTACAAGTCTTTGTAACAAAGTTCCATTGAAATTGGAATCGTTTTAGAAGAAATCAGACACACAATGGCTGTACCGAAGCAACATTATGCTACAAGCAGTCTTGTGATTGGGTACGCTTTATGTTCAAGCTTATTAGCTGTGATTAACAAATTTGCAATCACCAAGTTCAATTACCCAGGGCTATTGACTGCTTTGCAGTATCTTGTTTCAGCTTTAGGAGTTTGGGTTTTGGGGAAATTAGGGTTCTTGAGCCACGATCCGTTCGTATGGGAAACCGCTAAGAAATTCCTACCCGCTGCTATCGTTTTCTATCTCGCAATCTTCACAAACACGAATTTATTGCGTCATGCCAATGTCGACACGTTTATCGTCTTCAGATCCTTAACACCCCTTTTGGTAGCAATCGCCGACACCACTTTTAGGAAGCAACCAATTCCATCAAAACTTACATTTCTATCACTTTTAATCATCTTGGGTGGCGCTGTTGGCTATGTCGCTACAGATTCAGGATTCACATTGACTGCATATTCATGGGCATTTGCTTACTTGATCACAATCACAACCGAAATGGTTTACATCAAACACATGGTTACAAATCTCGGATTGAACACATGGGGTTTTGTTTACTACAACAACCTGTTATCTCTCATGATGGCTCCATTCTTCTGGATCATGACTGGTGAATACTCTGATGTGTTTGCTGCTGTTGGATCAAACCATGGGAATTTGTTTGAAATCATAGCATTTACAGCAGTCTCCTTATCTTGTGTTTTTGGACTTCTAATCAGTTTCTTTGGATTTGCATGTCGAAAAGCCATATCTGCAACTGCATTCACTGTAACTGGTGTTGTAAACAAGTTTCTTACAGTTGCTATTAATGTTTTGATTTGGGATAAACACGCAAGTCCTTTTGGGTTATTCTGTTTGCTTGTGACTATTGCTGGAGGTATTTTGTATCAGCAATCTGTAACTGGAGTTAATAGTCCATCTATACAGCGGGACCCGGTAGCATCTAAGTTAATGGATGATAAAGATGATGGTGATTACTCAAATGAAGATGAAGAAAAGGGTATTTCGGGGAAAATCTCGGGTGTATAAGTGTTTTTAAGTATCTCAGGTTTGGTTAACTAAAGCTTTATACACATGTTATCAATGATTCGGTTTAGTTTTTTGTATTAAAATTTCAACTATATTATTTGCTTTTGGATTTTGATAGTTGATGTTATCTTGAATAGGTCTTTTTTTCTCACACTATGAATTGTGTATTCGGGTGTCTTTGGTTTATTGAAGTAGTGAACAATGAAGATCATTTATTTTTGTTAACAGGGTTTAAATGATAAACATGTAATTCTATCATAAATATCTATCTGCATATTTTGGTGTTCTTTTTTGTTTTCTTGATGTGGTTTAGTTATGATTTGGTATGTTACAATATGATCTATGGAGATCACTTTCTTGTCTCAATTGGGAACAACTTTTGTGTTGTGGTAACAAGAGCATCTCTAATGGTGGGTTTTTGTATAGATTTTTGTACAATTGGAACAAAATACTATTTTGGTAATTTATTGATTTACTCTAATCATTTGGTAGACCCCGACTTTTTAACTTTTTGAAAAAAGATTTTCCAAAAATACAAAAAAAGTTGAAAATTTGATGTGTTAAAACTTAAAGGGAATATGACTTATCAATGTAATTAACTTTTCGGTATGTTCACATCTGGGTAACTATCTTTTTTTTGTATATATGTAGGTAACAAACTTTTTGAAAGTGTTCACATATGACCATTATGACCTGCTATAGCAGGTTAAATCCTAGATGTGAACGTTTTCAACAAGTTTGTTACCTAGATGTGTACAAAAAAAATAGTTATTCAAATATGAACAAAATGAAAATTAAAAATTAAATTACATGAATGGTCCCTGTAGTTTGGGGGAATTTGTGGTTTTGGTCCCTAATTTATTTTTTTAACTTAAATGGTCCCTACTATTTATTTTTGTTGCACGTTTGGTCCCCGTCTTACCTAAAAATACTATTGTGCCCTTATTAATTTATTTTTTTAATTAATTTTCTTATCTATGTATTTATTTTATACATATTTAAAAAAATTAATAGACCACACATATTTGTATCTCTTCGGATGATCTCTACTGTTTATTTTTAATTATATATTTTTTTTAACTCGGATGATCCTTACTGTTTATTTTTGTTACGCGTTTTGTCTTTGTCTTATCTAAAAATACTATTTTTCCCTTATTAAAATTTTAAATTAATTTTCTTATTTATGTATTTATTTTTTATAAAAAAAATTAATATACCCCACATATATGTATCTTATCACCGTAAACATGAAACCACATTTGAGAAATTTAATTTGAGTCTTACCATTCACCATCTCATCTCTGATCTCCCCATCTTCTATTTCTTTTCCATCTTTAGTAACATCAACGTCTTCACCGTCCTTCTTTTTTTTGGTACTTCAACTCTGGCGAACCAACACCATAACCTACTGTCTCTTCATATTTAGTGGGTTGTGGTGTTGTTTCGACGGAGTTGAAGGACCGAAAAAAGAAGTGATGATGAAGACGTCGATATCACTAAAGATGAAAAATAAATAGAAGTTGAGAATGATGAAAGATGGAATGGTGAGGAGATACAGATATGTGAGGTCTACTAATTTTTCTAAAACATATAAAGCATAAGTATATAAACAAGAAAATTAATTAAAAAATATTAATAAGGGCACAATAATCTTTTTAGGTAAGACAAAGATCAAGTTCGTAACAAAATTAAATAGTAGGGACGATCCGAGTTAAAAAATTAAATTAATTAAAAAATAAATAGTAGGGATCATCCGAGGAGTTACAAATATGTGTGGTATTTTATTTTTTATAAATATGTAAAAAAAATAAACATAGATAAGAAAATTAATTAAAAAAATAAATTAATAAGGGCACAATAGTATTTTTAGGTAAGATGGAGACCAAACGTGCAACAAAAATAAACAGTAGGAACTATTTAAGTTTAAAAAAATAATTTAGAGACCAAAACCACAAATTCCCCCAAACTACAGGGACCATTCATGTAATTTAATTTTTTACTTTTCGTTTTGTTCATATTTGGGTAACTATTTTTTTTGTACACATCTAGGTAACAAACTTGTTGAAAGCGTTCACATTTAGGATTTAACCTGTTATAGCAGGTCATAATGGTCATATGTGAACACTCCTAAAAAGTTTGTTACCTACATATGTACAAAAAAAAGATAGTTACCCAGATGTGAACATACCGAAAAGTTAATTACCTTGATAAGTCATATTCCCAAACTTAAAAGTGAAAAGCTTTTGGAAAGATTTGTAGCATTTGAGGGGATATTGAAAGATACGTTTATATCAAATAAAGTTAATGGAAATCTGATGTGGCAAACGTGTAAAAAAAATCATAAAATTCTTAACTATTTATGATGCTCTTAGGTTTCTTTAGTTTTCTAAGAAAATAGGTCATATGATGGAATTTGATGATGGATGAGGAGATTTACGTCTTTTAATCTAGTATGAGTCAGTGTTTTGTTCCTTTTATGGTATGTCAAAATCCTATATTTCTTTTTTGGAGAAAATTCGAGAAATGAACAAAAATAGGGAGTGGTTGAAGAAAATAACCAAGGAAAAACACATTTTAGAATATGATCAAAGGATCCGCAAAGCACCCTCTGTGGATCTATTAAGTCCGCTGCGGATTTGCTACACCTTTGCGGAATTGAGTTTTTTTTTTTAATTTTTTAATTTTTTCATTTTTTGTGTTAATTTTAGTTTATTAATATTACTTTTTAAAAATATATTAACACATTACGTGATTATTATGTAAAAAAAATGAGAAAAAATTTAGTTTTTTTTTTCGCGTTAATTTTAGTTTATTAATATTAATTTTTTTTAAAATACACTAATATAATTTTTTTTGAATAAGGTCTAACTCGAGGGATCCATTAAAGATTAAAAATAATGAACTTATGTTTAATCCGCAGAGCACCATCTACAAATCCATTAAAAGCTCTGTGGATCCTCTACAGCTCTGCGGAATCTTTGTTTTCTGATTTTTTTTTTATTTTTTTTTTTCGTTTTTTCGTTTTCTTTGCGTTCATTTTCGTTTATTAATATTATTTTTTTTAAATACACTAATGTCTTATATGATTATGTAAAAATTTGACAAAAAAGTTAAAAATAATGAACTTATGTTTAATATCACTCCACAGAACTGTTATCAGCGGATCGGTGTACATACGTATTCTCTTCTTGGAATCACCTCTGCGCATTAGTGTACACCTCTGCATAAGGGAATACACAGAACTGTTAGAGAATAAAAAAAATGACTGACAAACAGCTCTGCGGTTTACCAAACAATTTTGCGGAATAAGTAATACAAAATCACTTTACCATCCGTATCCTTTCATCGATTTTGTACAATTTCTTCTTAATTTCATTTTTTTTTTGAAAAATTAACCCTCATATTTTCCGTCATAATGGCTTCCATACCATGGAGCACTGAGGATAACCTCCGTCTAACTCGTGCATATATTAATATCAACGAGACCACCAGGGTGAATGATCCAATTTATTGGACCCGTTTAACTTATGCCTTCAACGCTGACCCTCAAACTGCCCCAGAAAACAACGCAACACCGTTGACATCATAGCAAAATGGTATGAATTAAAAACAGAAGTCTTGGTTTTTAACAATCTTTATACCAAAATTGATGACGCACGTCCAAATGAAGATGAGGAAGTCATTATGGACGCGGTGAATGTTGTATGTTTATGTTTTCTAAGGTATGTTTTGTAACCTATAAAAAATATGAAATATTTGCATAATTTTAATTAGGTTATTTATATGCATCGATTTGTATTACATTATTATGTATTTGGTTTGTATTATGTTATTTACGAAACAGTTGAGTTAACTTCTACTTTATTCTATAGAACATAAAATACAAAACAGTACAAATACATTGGAAACATACATCATTAGCAAACGTATTACATAAAACAATTCATTATTTTTAACATTTTTTGTCAAATTTTTTACATAATAATCACATAACGTATTAGTGTGTTTTAAAAAATATATATATTTTTTAACTTTGTTTGTCAATTTTTTTACATAATAATCATATAACGTATTAGTGTATTTTTAAAAAAATATATATTAATAAACTAAAATTAACACAAAAAAAAAAACAAAAAAAACTTTTTTTTCTTATTTTTTTTACATAATAATCACATAACGTATTAATATATTTAAAAAAAATTAATATTAATAAACTAAAATTAATGGAAAAAAATGAAATAAAACTCAATTCTACAGAGGTGTAGCAAATCCGCAGAGGACTAAATAGATCCGCAGAGGGTGCTCTGCGGATCCTTTGATCATTTTCTGAAATGGTGTAACATCCTAAGTGCAGGAATATAAGTTTGGGGTGCTATGTATAAATAAAGGAGTAGACTCGACGAGTAGGTGTCTTAACTCGTCGAGTCGGAGCGGGTGATGGGCACATGTTAAGTGACCCGGCTCGCCGAGTCGGTGGTGGGAAGAGAAAACCCTAATTTTAGGGTTTGCACCCTATTTAAAGGACCTTAAGTCCTCACCCCAGCCTCTTTGTTACCCCCTTAAGAGTCAGGAAACCCTAATCTTGTGTGTGAGCCATTAGAGAGAGTTTTGAAGCTTTGGAAGGTGATTCTAGTAAAGGAGGCTTGTAGATCAAGAGGCTAGCATCAAGGAATTTGTGTAGATACAGAGTCTACTTCAGCTTGGGCACATCTTGGAGGTAACAAGTCGTTACCTTGATCTATCCACTTCGAGATCTACTCCTGGATGGAGTTTGGGGCCATTTTAGCATGTTTATGACCCATTTCGGGTTTTGGGTCTAGATCTGAGGTTGCAACTTCAGATCTAGACTTGTATTGGTCCATGGAGGCATAAAGTATCAGCCCTTTTAGCATGTATGTGAGCATTCTTGTCTTGAACCTTCTCTCTAGCTTGTATTGAGCAAATACCACCTTGCATGCACGTAAAGTTGGAAACTTTACGTGTAAAACTAGCCTTAGGAG